CGGGCTGCCTAGTTTAAATGACGTTCTTGAACGACGGCCTTGAGCTCTGGCGGGAGTTCCTCCTTCGTGCCTTTAGTGCGCACGAATTTGGCGAGGTCTTGGAAGTTGCGGAAAAGTTCGCATTGTCCAGCATCGTGGAGCTGCTTGCAGAACTTGCATCGCTTGTTACAGTAGTGGGCGGAGTGACTCATGCCACCGCACACCGCGCATGGTCCGTACTGTGGGCGTCGGTTGTCGCGGTTGAAGTCACGTCGACCGCGTTGGTCCTGATCGAACCCACGGTCACTACTTCGGCGATCTTGATTGAAGCCATTCTCGCGATCAGGCACGTTTCCACGCGGTTGACGGTTGTCTGAACGTGCGTAGGTGCCTTCAGCAGCTGCACGACGTTCATTTTCGTTAGCAGCGGCGAGGTATCGGTCGTTTTCATCCAATGAGAAATCGCCATCCGTAATATCGGGCTGAAAGTCGTTGTACTCGTCTTGGACATCATTGTAAGCGTTCGGATCTTCGTTTGAATACTCGGTGCCTCCCTGAGCAGCTTCACGACCTTCTAATTCAGCTAGTAGGTCGTCCACCGTGGCTTCAATGAGTGTCACTCTTGGTTTGTTGCAGTTGTCATCGCGGCGACGGTCATCACGCCGGTTGTTGCGGGCGTACCCATCGTCGCGTCGCGTATCACGACTCTTGGAGTATCGGTACTCACTGTCACGCTTGGCCATTCTCTCCTTGCCCTTGAGAACATCTTCGATGATCTCTTCGAGCTCGTGAATGTCGGCGACTCGAGCGTGGTAGAGACTCTCCGCTAGCTTGTCATCGTCGCATGTTGCCAGGAATTGCTGTACGTGTTCTTTCGCGTCGCGACCACTCTTCTCGAAGTGTAGACGGGCGGTCCGAGCATAGCCATTCAGCCTGTTTATGTAGTCGCACAGATGTTCATTACGTTCCCGCTTGGCGGAGTAGTAACGCGACAGTGCCGTCTGCGTGAGCTGCGAGCAGTAGTAGCGGATGAACGCGTCGCTCAGCAGCTTCCACTTGCGCTTCGTCTTCTTCGGAAGTTGACGGAACCAATGAATGGCTCCGTCCCGGAGACTTAGCTCAAATGGAATGCACCATTTATCGGCATCTGTGTGGGTTCCAGTCATTTCATAGACCAAACCACGGAGCCACTGCATACAGTTCTCGCTCTTGTTGCGAGAGCCTGAGAACGGCGTGATGCGATCCAGCGGTCGGTGCGAGGCCATTTCAATCCTCGGTGTTGGGTCCACGTCGTTCAGCGTCGCTAGCTCATTCATCTGACGCATCAACTCGAGTTGAGGATCTTCCTCGTCGCATGTACGCACCAAAATGTCATCGTCACTGGACGAACCATCGCTGTCGACTTGACGACGTCCGGCACCACCTTTGGGAGCTCGCGCACCGCCTCGGCGACCGGACGAACCCTCGTTACTTGCGTAAATACGTTGCATACGGCTCTCCGAACGTGGCGTAACCATGTGCGAGTCTTGAAAGTACGGTGAAGCTTCGGTAGTGCCAAAGGCACCACGCTCAGCTCCACGCTTGGTCGGAGGAGTACGAACGAGTCGTTGGGGCGTCGGCGGCAATGGAATCTTGGACGGATCTTCATCTTGAATCATCGGTCGACTCACAGGTTGCTTTCCGGCATTGATGCCAACAGCGCCAAACGCCTTCCGAAGCTTCTTCTTCCATTTCTGGAGAGCAGCTCCGGCTTCATGTGGACTCCAATCCTGGAGCGACATCGTCGATGGGTACGTCTCGTTCTCGAACCCCAGCGACAACAGTAGCGAAACTGAATCCTCGGCAACTTGGCTAGTCGAAACCGAGTTGACTGGGTATTGAAGTTCCTGCGCAAGCGCAGGCCAGTCGGCTTTTTTCTTGGGGATGGGCTTGAACAGCTGCATCCACTCATCATTCTGCATCAGCGCTTGTACGCGGTCGAAAACGCGCTTGGCGGCTGGTGTATCACCGTTGATAGGTGGGCGAGGTGCCTTCAGCAGTGCTGAATGCTTTGCACTTGCCACCGAAGGTTTAGAACCCTCGGTCCCATCGTCATAATCATCGTAGGCTGGTTCTGGTCCCGCAACATCATCGAGCTCGTCGGCGAGGTTCCTCGAAAGGGACCTGGTCGCCCCGCTCAGCCCTGATGATAGCGTGGCCGTCTCCGGCGTCGCTGCGCCTGGCTCTGGAGCCGGCGTCTTGTCTTCGTAATCTTCATAATCGTGGGCGTCAGGACCGATGTCCGCTTCGTCGTCGAAGCTCACTGAAAGCTCGGTGGCGGCTGCAAAGCGCGCAGCCGGGCTTGAACTCTCGTTGCGAGCCCCGCCAGACTTGGCAGGCGTAACTGGTACCGTCGGTTGTCCTTTCGCCATATTTCTTGTCTTTTTCTTGTTCTTCTTCTCTTGGTAGCTCGTAAACTGGAAGGCCATACAAACAGTTCACAATGGTCACAATCTGTTCCCGGGTCGCGGCACCAGTTGTGGTGTTGGAAATCCCACGTGAACTCTAGCTACAGATGTAGTTAGAAGTTCCCACAACAATACGTCTACTAGGATAGTAAACGATCGTTCGGGCGGACCTGAAGACCCCAGTTCTGCCCTTGCACCGGGACAAACTGGACCTTGTAAACGACTTATATAGGCCAACCAGTAAAAGTAAGAACACGCTACTAGCACGAGCAAAGAAAGCAGGTGTTTTGAATCCTCGTGGTCCCAACAGCGGAAGGGTACCAGGCACGGGTAAGCCTTTTACGAGATCACCGAGTGTTCAACACTCGGCTGGAAGCATAAAAGGGAGGCAATTCAAGCACTCCCAGTCGCGCAAATAGGCAACAATAAGCCGTCACGTAAAACCTCCCGATAATAATCGGCCAATACACAAAGTCTCTTGGCCTTGCCGGATGAACCCTCGCTACAGAGCTTCGAGTTCACCGACAGGCATAACACACTCAAACAAGCTTGACCTGACGCTTACCTTGAAGCCGAACGTCGCTCTGTGTGCTTGAGTGGAAATTCTGTTCTGTATTTATGCTTACCCTTTCGGGTCTATTCCTAATAAGAAGTCCTAATCAAGTATACAAATATCAAGTGAACAATGATCCGTTATGGATCTTCTTGCATGCCAAGCGTCATCTGCACCGTCGCATGAGCATCTTTAACGGTCCGCGCCCTGTCCCAGACGGTGAAAGTGCCTTCCAAGGGTCGCTGAGTCTTCTGCGAACTCATCCCAACCGCCACTGAGGGTTCGTACCGTAGATGGTCCGCTGAAATGCGAATCCGGCCAGTCCATTATTAATAATAAGGACAGCCTGGATTCAGTGACATATGCCCGTGTCCAATACTCGTTGAACGTTCGGAGGTGACGCCGTCGAGCTCCTTGCACCTTGGCGTCTCCGTACATCACCTGACCGAGGGTTCGTCGCTTGAACAGCTTGGGCGGTGTCACGTCTTTTTCGACGGGTGATAATCCGCAACTACGGAGAAATCACTACACCACAATTAACAAACATTTCCGGGATGTAAGTTTTGATAATGTTAATATGAGCAATGAAACCCAATCTAAAAGTCGATTGCATGATATGCTATGATACTGTCGAGTGCAGAGCTGGACTTGCCCAAGTTGATCTTCTAGACAACGACCTTCACGACATATCTAAGCCATGGATTTTCGATCCCCATCGCGTACGCAACTGTTCTGTACGACTGACTTGTGGCTTGCTATCGCTCAACGCTACGTGGTTAGCCCCAATATCGCTGGACTCTACTACATTTTCGGGGCTCCTGTTATCAAACTGACGCCAAAATCAAAACTCACTAGCATTGGTGTTGTTTGTACTGCACGTACTTCTGCAGATATGACTTATTTTTCGCCGTGCAGTTCTCGTCTGGCGACTCGTTTTACGTCAAACCTGGCTATGCATTAACTAGCACTTCAACCACATAATTTTGCTATATAATAGTGCATTTAAGGAAGGTCTTCAACGAAGCATCGAATACAGCGTAGTGCGTCATTTCAACGCCATACTGTACAGTACAGTATTGTTAGCTTGTGATTGATTCGCTTGTTTGTAACGTGATATATAGATGTTAATTGCATTTCAAGCATTCGTCTTGTTTATGTGCCCTGATCCAAAAATCCTGTTTATTTTTATAAAAGTAGCTATAGAACGTAGTGTACTTTCATTTTTGATGAAAAATGAGGATTTTACAGCTTTTTTCATTTGTAAAATGTAAGAGTTCGATACCTACTTTTTTGTGCGCCACACCATGATGGGGTTGAATAATCCGTGTTGGGCTGTACGTGGGTTGAATAATCCCTATTGGGCTGTACGTAACACTACAGCCAAGAAATCTCCCACATATGCAACATGATTTAGAATGGACCTATGGGGAAGCTGACGACACTATAACAGCTAAAGTAAAGGGCGGAGAGAGCAGCAATCTGGACATACAACTACAACGAAACCAAGACGGGTGGACCTGGAGCATTATGAAAGCGTCAGCATCGTATCAAAAAACTTACGACTATGAAGAATTAGTGGCTTGGATAAACCGAGAAGGTCTCGCTTTTAAACAAACACCGCAAACTGCTCTCTATCCTTGGTCAGTACCAGAACTCACGAAATCAGCCAACTTGGGAATCACGATCCGTAAACAGCGAACCAAGGTATTAAAAACACAACTTCGATACAGCCTTCAACCCACTCTCGAAAAAATAAAAAGGAAAAAAAGTGCATCAGTCTGGCAAAGTGTAGCGCTTCAACAAACTGTTTACCAGCTGTGGTCCACCCAAGGTATTTTTACAGACTTCCAAAAGTGGACAATGTATCGTATCGCTCTTGGAGCTCTCAACTTGCGCCACGATAAATGGCCTGACCACCGTGAATGTCCTGAACCTACATGTCCTTGCACCACTGAAACGATAGACCACATAGTATGAAGCTGCGATAAAGCACAACATGCTTGGAAAAGATGGCTTGATCAATGGCTCGGAGCTCCGACTACCTTAACGAAAAGAAAGGCATTACTGGAACACGTTGCGTCAAGAAATTCACCAACAGCGACAGCAGAATTCCTGTCCGTAGCTCAGCAATGCATGACGCGATGGACAACATGTCACGACAAAGCAATGGAGATATTATGGTTAATATGGACAACAACAACCCCAGTCATACTATGGAGACTAAGAAATCGTCATATTTTCAACGAAATACACACATCAAAAAGCGAAACAGCCTCCATAGTCTGGGGAGCTGGAACGTACCAAGTCATTGCGGTAGCTAGCTCATGGAAGGCGCAACCATCAAAGCGGATATTGGGTGTGTGTCTGGAACTATGCCATAGAATCATGATATCTGTTCACCCTGAAATGAATATGGAACATCTGGAAACCTGGCTAATCCGTTACTACGCGAGAAATCCTCCCGGAAAAGAGTCCCAAGGAGGATGGCTAGTATACCATTTAGAAAGAGAAGACGTGTGGAAGCTCCATGTAGCTGGTAGCAACACATTTAACCACCAGCAATCCCGCTCAAAACTTGATCAACTCGTCCTCGAACAAGCAGGACAAGCCATTTGTCGTCAAGATGAGCCTCAGAGAATTATCCTATCGATTGATACCATCAATTCACGAGCCTCCAGCATGCTCAGAAAAGACTCAGAAGATAAGGCCGACGACAGCGACTGCCGTAATCTCAGTGCACTAGCCTCATTCTTCAGGATACAGTGGAGAAAACCGAAGCTAGCGGCATTCACAGCAGCCAAGAAACTGGCTGCAATGGACCAAAATGCAACATATATATATGACAATACAAACAGGATGACCCACCGAAGTGCATTCGAAGAGTATCTTCAGCGGACGGGGGAACAAATTCAACAAAAGGCAAACCCTCAGCCAAACAGAAAGACGGACACCATTGAGAACCGTTTAATGGCGTATCATAGTAAGGCTTCTATAGGATAAAAACATACCCAAATAGAAGGCCGTTTGAACCACTGTACGTACTACACTCCTGGACACAATCATACGGCCACCTCGTCGAGTGTCCATAACTCAGTCAATTTTTATTATTTGACGGTGCGGTTTTCACACAAGTTGCAAAACATGCTTCAAAATAGCAAGGATGTGCTAACGCTTGCGGTTTGCACTTTATAGGGGGCTCACATACAAAAAAGAGATTTGTCAGGCTGGACACAATTTACGGCCACCATCGGCCCAATACAAAAACCTATATAAAAGAAAACATGTGTCATTTTGGCTGACTAGAAATTTGTATGGGCTGAGTTTCTGAGGGCGATTAAATGGACACTAGGGATCGAGCGCTCAAATTAGTTGCATGGGGGTGTACACAATACTTGCAGCGGGGCTGCCGTAGCTTTAGCGTCAGAGGAAGACGTTCGACTCAAAGAGTCACTAATACTAAGTTCCTTATCCAAAGGACACTTACAGCCCAAGACCAGGGCTCAAAGTTAGCACCTTAACTTTTATGCTTCAAAACCAGAAGTGTTTTATTTACTATTATTGCGGCCAAGCCGCCTAGGGGTAAATGTATCTGTTTAACTATCTAGCATAGTTAAACCTAATCAAATGCATAACGTGTGGCTTTCGGCCAACGTACTGAGAGACCTTGTTAACTCTCCAACTTATGTACTGAAAGTTTGTTAACTCTCCGGGTACTTCGTACCCCTGTGTGTTCCACACCATGTAACCCCGTAACACTCTCCCCCACTAAGATGAGAACATTCCGTTCTCGAAACTCTCCTCAGCGAGGTCACGTCTTGTTAAGACGGCGGAGGTTACTACACCTCACACCAGCGTTGTACAGCTCCGTGAGCTCACAAACGCCTACGCATCGTTGATGCCCAACTTCTCGTCGTCGGCCCACGGCCCAATGCTCCAAGCGCAGCGCGCATCTTGCTCTCAAGCGGTCTCAGACCTACGCTCGCGCTCCGCGCCTACTCCAAGAGCTGCAAACCGCTTAGAGCAATGCTCTTGACTCATTCGAGTCGTCGACAACAGCTCAGCGGTTGAACACTCGCTTCACAAGCGATAGGTCGGTGGTTCGAACCCACTAGGGCACAGCCCTCTCGTTCCATGAACGATTGTTCACGCTTGGACAAGCTTAAGGGCAACACCCTTTTAGCTCAATGGTTGAGCGTTGGCTTTGAGAGCCACAGGTCGGTGGTTCGAGCCCACCAGGGCACAGCCCTGTCGTTCCATGAACGATTGTTCACGCTTGGACAAGCTTAAGAGCAATCCGCTTCTAGCTCAGTGGTCGAGCGCTGGATTTGGAAGCCACAGGTCGGTGGTTCGAACCCACCAGGGCACAGCCCTCTCGTTCCATGAACTGTTGTCCTTGAATGGACAAGCTTAAGGGCAACGCCCTTTCAGCTCAGTGGTCGAGCGCTGGCTTTGAAAGCCACAGGTCGGTGGTTCAAATCCACCCGGGCGCAGCCCTCTCATATTATGAGTAGTCCGTTTTCGGACTGACGTACGGGCATCGCCCTTATAGCTCAATGGTAGAGCTCCGGCCTGATAAGCCAAAGGCCAGTGGTTCGATCCCCGTCCGGGACACCACTTTCGCTGTTACAGCGCATCCACATTTGGATCATGCTCATCGAGCAAGTTGTTTCAAAACAACTATGCGTCTATCGAGACGCTTGTGCCTGAACCTTGTTCAGCACGACACGAAGCACCTGCTTCCTTCGGGACCATGTCCCTAACACTACGAGGTCTCTCCACCTCCTGCTCCCGCTGCGAGCACCGCTTATACGTACGAGCTGGCTGCTACAGCCACTGGTCAGAGCCTGAGCTCAACTACTGACCTCATCGCTCCCCACTCTAGTGGGAGGCGCCCAGCGCCTGGCGACGCTGTCGCACGCCATGGTGGCGCTTCGGCACATGATGTGCCCGGTCGTAAGCGTCAACGACGTCAGGGCAATCTTGCCGGAGGATAACCTCAAACTCCCATGAGTTCTGTGAGTGAGGGTAACCCCTCCACTTCACTAAGTACTGGGTACGACCCTGGCGTCTACGCCACGCCACAAGGCGCTCCACGTGAAAGTGGAGCTCACCATGCTCATCGAGCAGAGCAGGAGGAGGCCTTGCCTCAGCTGGGCTCTCGCGGGGAGAGTCAGCACTTGCCGGAACGGCGTCTGCGTCCATACGACGCCGGCGTCCACGACGCGAACGTTCACGTTCACCGCCCATCGGTCGATCTCGAAGAGATGATCCACCTTGTGGATAGGTTAGAGCCACCACTGTTGACTCACAACCAGGTCTCGGACCTTGAGCGTCCAGTTGCTCGGCTGAACGTTCAGCTTGCCTTGCTCCTGCATCTCGAGCACTTCGCTCCGCGACCTGTTGCTCTGCCACATGCTGTTGATCAGCCATCTGTGGATCCACCCCTTGCTGTCGTTCAGCCTCCCGTGGCTCTACCACCTGCTGCCCTGCAGCTGTCCGTGGCCCAGCCACCGTTGGTGCCAACGCCTCCGCGCTCACCTGAGCAGGGTCTTGGTATGGCTTAAGCAAGCCGACATAGAAGACCGGATGCGTGCGCATCTTCTTCGGAAGGTTGAGCGTATACGCTAGGCCCTTCCTGGCCACGACCTTGAACGGTCCTATAAACCGAGGTCTTAACTTCGTCTTGAAGACTGCAGACACTGCATGAGTAGGTAGGTTTTTAGCGCTTAATAAAACTTGGTCACCGACCTCAAACCTCTCAACATTGCTTCTGCCCTTTGCATCTGCATGTTCCTTCTGCGTGTCTTGGCTTTCAGCCATAGCGTCGCGTACTTGACGCATTACGCTCAGTCTCAAAGAGACAAAGTCATCGACTTGCTTGCGAACCGCAACAGGGCTGACATCAGCTAGCCGCTCGGCTATACCTCCCCCACCAAGCCCTGAGCCACTGCGTGGCGGCGTCAGTGGGACGCGAGGGTTAACCAAGCCGTTCACATAGAACGGAGTGTAGCCTGTCGAGGCGTGCACTGCATTATTTAATGCGAACTCAACGAGTGGGAGCATCTGGCTCCAGCGTTTTGGCGCCTCAGCGCATACGCTTCGGAGGGTATCCTCCACAACGCGATTCACGCGTTCGGTTTGACCATCGGTCTGCGGATGGTCCGCTGTGGACATGTCCAAACGAGTGCCGAGCACTCTGAAGAGGGACGTCCAGAACTTCGCGGTGAAGCGCGGGTCTCGATCCGAGACAATTGCCTCAGGCAAGCCATGTTGGCGAAAGACTCGGTCTAAAAACAGCAAAGCTGTACCTTCACCATCAATGGTGTCCGGCACTGCCGCTAAATGAGCCATCTTGCTCAATTGGTCTACAAAGACCACTATACCTGTGTTTCCCGCCTTATCCTTGGGAAGGCCAAACACAAAGTCCATACTCATGGACTGCCAGCATCCCTTGGGGACAGGCAAACTCGCCAATGGCGCTGCCGTGCTCGGCGCGGACTTTGTCCGTTGACACGTCTCACACGTGCGTACATAGGTGCCGACCCACTTATACATCTTGGGCCACCAGTACATCGAGCTCACCGAGCCATAGGTCTTCTCCCGACCTAAGTGCCCGCCCACGGGCGTATCATGAACCTCATAGAGGATTCGATACTTTAGATCCTCATCATGAGGAACGACTACACGAGGGTTATCCTCAGCGTCGGTGCTGTAGTACAGCAGGCCGCCATCGAGTGAGTATCGATGCAGCCTCGCGCGTAAGCGCCCAGACAATTCCTTGTCAGAGTCTTTAAACTCTTCGCTCCCAAGAGCCCGTAGCAGCGCTACGCACATGTCGTCTTGTGCATACGCTCCGCGTATCAAGTCAGGCACTGACGACGTCACTGTCGTGACATGAGCTAACTCGTAGTCCGGCCTGCGCGAGAGCGCATCGGCCACTACATTAAGCCGCCCCGGCTTGTACTTCACCTCGAAGTTATACTCGGCAAAGAAGGAAAGCCATCTTGCCATTCTCTGAGAGAGATGAGGCGACTGTGTCGCAGTGCGTAACGACGCATGATCAGTAAAGATCACAAAAGGCTTAGAGCCTAGCAGGTGTACCCTGAATTTGACTAGAGCATACTTCATTGCAAGTAGCGCTTTGTCATGAACTGGATAGTTCTTCTCTGCAGCTTTGAGTTGGCGAGACTCAAACGCGATCACGCGTTCACGCCCTTCGGCGTCTGCTTGTAGTAAAGCACAACCGATTGCAAAATCGGAGGCGTCACAGACGACGCTAAACGGACTATCCGGGTCCGGTAGCGCAAGGATCGGAGCCTGGAGGAGGCTCTCCTTCACAGCCTCAAAGGCTCCGTCGTGCTCGACGTTCCAGCACCATGGTGCGTCCTTCTTAAGGAGATCTGATAATGGCCGAGCCATCTCCGCGTAGTTCGCACTGTACTTGTGCAAGTAATTGGCTAAGCCTAGCCACTTGCGTAAGTCTTTTTGGTTCTTGGGAACCGGCCAGTCCACGATGGCCTTGACTTTGGCAGGATCTGCCCGTAAGCCACGCTTCCCAATGAAGCACCCGAGGAAAGGTATCTCCTCCGCGCCAAAGACGCACTTGTCCAAGTTGGCATACAACTTATTAGTGCGCATGCACTCGAGCACCGCTCGCAAGTGGTCAATGTGGTTATCCACGTCTGCCTTTCCGTGCTCGGCACGACTATGGACGAATATATCGTCAAAGTACGTTTGAGCGTACGCCCGGTGGGGCCTAAACAACTGCGTCACAAGACGATTGAACGTTGCTGGTGCGTTCGACAGCCCCTGGGGTATCACCAGCCACTCCCAGAGCATACCGCTCGGAGTACTCACCGCTGTCAGCGGAATGTCGCTCGCTCTCATGAGCAATTGGTAGTAGCCATCGACCAAGTCGAGCGCGCTGTACAGCGTACAGCCTACCATGTTGTTCTGCAGAACATCCTTGCGAGGAATCGGCGTTTGCGCCGGGATAGTGGCCGCATTTAGCTTGTTAAAAGCATGAACAATGCGCCACTTGCCGTTCGGCTTTCTGACACAGAACGTGGGTGTCGAGTGCGGAGACTTACTCTCACGCACCATCCCTGCCTCGTGCTTCGCACGGAAGAATGCGTCAATGACGTCACACTGCTCTCTCGGCAAAGGCCATTGCCTTGTTACGCAGTATTTGGTTCCAGGAACCAGGTCAATCTCATGACACACGCCTCGATCCGGAGGCAGGCCCGTCGGTGGGTCTTTTGAGACAACGTCTCCATACTCCTTCACCACCGGGTAGAAGGGATCCGAAGGATCTTTGAGGATCGCCGATCCACTTCTTGCGCTCAGCGCCTTCTTGGTGTCCTCTAGGACCGCGTCGTCCACGACGGATGAGGAGTTCAACTCCTCCTCAGGTCCCAGCAAGACCACCTCGGCTAGCTCGCCTGCCTTTATGGGTTCGCCGAACTCGGCAATGGACATCTCGTCCAACTCTAGCAGAGCATCTGCAGCGGGCAGAGTATCAAGGCTGATATCGCCTTCTACCTCCCCCGTCACTCCGTTCACGAGTGTATACAGCTGTTCACAGCAATCACGTGGAGCATCACCGCTCGTCACGTTGGACACATCGTCCGACGTCGAAGACGTCACAGACGCCCTGCGTCTTCTTCTCCTCTCCCTCCGCGACCGAGCCCGGCCGGATGAGGGCGGTGTGGCGACATCTCCGTCACTACCACCGGGTGCAGCAGCACCATCACTCCTCGAAGAGGATACAGTGTCTCGCAAGACACTCGGCTGAAAGCCAAGAGGTTCTTGACCTTCACACAGTGAACTAGGTGTCACTTCACCTGCATCTCCTGGGCCACGCCCATGATGCCTCGACTCGCAGTCGACCGCGACCCTCGGGTCACGCAGCGGTAGGTCATCGACCAGATTCATACCACTCAGTGGATTACGCGCCACTCCGCGCTCGTCCTCACCAGGACCCAGCAGTTGGTCATTGACCGGACCTGCACCGCTCCGCGGATAACGTGCCGCACCACGTACGCCCTCAGGGCAAACAGCAACCTCGTTGCTAACAATTTCGGACATACCAATGCCTAACACTACGGCCGCCTCGGCCTCGTGCTCGCGCCAAAAGCGCTTCTGCTTCCTAGCAGAGGTGGGTTCATGACTCACCAAAGCTCCACTAGGAGCAGGGTGCGACGCACCCAGCGTTTTCGACTTCCAGTCGATCCATGGCTCATGACGTTCCAGCCATGCCATGCCAAGGATGAGGTCATACCTCGCATCCAGGTCTAAGACCAAACAGCGTTCCACGCTATCGAAGTTCTCAAACTTCACTCCAAGGTCGACAGAGACCTTCGACACAGTTACCAGTGTCCCCGTCGCGAGACGGACAGAGATCGTATCTCTCGTTGGCACTTCCAGTGCCTCAGCATACAGCTGACTCCCTTCCAGGGTGGAGCGACGGGCGTAGTTGCCCGAGGCTCCCGAGTCAATCAAGACTCTCCATGGCTTTGCAAAGCCCTTCACGTTCGCTTGAACGACCAGCAAGCCCGGCTTGCACACACTCTTCTCGTAAGAGAGCTCAGCTCTCTTCGGGGCTGAGCCCCGTTGCCCTCTACCTCTTCGAGGCACAACAGAACTCAGTTCTTCCCCAGTAGGCCGCCCCGCGCCTACTGGAAGTTGCCGTTTCCCGGCGATGACCCGGAGGGTTGGCTCGCCGGAGCCTCGCGCTTCTTGCGCAGAGGGCAATAGGCCCTTAAGTGCTTAGTGCTATTGCACACAAAGCATCGGCGGATGCCGGCGCGCTGCTCCGCAGCAAGAAGCTCCGCTTCTTCATCTTCAGCATAGCTGAGGTCCATCGGCTCTGGACCGCTCGAAGAGCTTGCGCTACCAGCGCTCCAACCAGGTCGCGCCGACCTGAAGTTGTGCTCGGCATTCAATGCCACATCCACCGCCTCTTCAAAAGAGTTAGGGTGTACACGGAACACTTCCGTTCGAGCTGCGCTCACACGAAGTCCCTCCATGAACACGGTCACGCTGACCAGTTCCGGAAGAGGGTCCGCCGCCATTCCGGCGATAAGAGTTCTCAACTCTTGGACATAGTCCAATAAATCCTTCTTACCCTGGCGGGTAGCAAGGAACTTTGACCGGATACGGTACGCCTGATTAGGCGGCGCGAACACGCGCGAAAGCTGTTGCTTCAGCTGATCCCAAGTGGGAAATGCAGCGTCAACAGACGTGCCGCACGTTAGTGCCCATTCGCGAGCGCGACCTCCAAGCCTGGAGATAGCCAGCGCCACGCGCTGATGCTCAGACTGGAGCAGGGCCGATCCCATGGCCATCTCGACCTCACGGGTCCAGAGAAGGAGATTCTCTCCATCCTTCCCCTCGAAGGTTTTTACGCTCACCATGAGCGGTTTCAGTCTCATAGACTCTTCACGCGTCATCGACGCCGCCGCCGTTGCGGCGCTCATCTTCTCTTGGACATGCTCCAAGAGCGCGTTCTCGTAGCGGGAGAACGATTCCAGCCTGGCAGTGACCGCCTCTGGACCTTGCGATGCAAGATGAGCCACGCCCTCCGGGCCAAGCAAGGACATAAGCTTAGTAAGCGCGTCCTGCTGCGCCGGGGGCAAATTCGCGAAAACGGGGTGTTCCATCCTCGCAGAGGATATAGTCAACCGACTCAGGAGCGGGATTGACTACAAGTGCTACCAAGTGCAGCGGGGCTGCCGTAGCTTTAGCGTCAGAGGAAGACGTTCGACTCAAAGAGTCACTAATACTAAGTTCCTTATCCAAAGGACACTTACAGCCCAAAACCAGGGCTCAAAGTTAGCACCTTAACTTTTATGCTTCAAAACCAGAAGTGTTTTATTTACTATTATTGCGGCCAAGCCGCCTAGGGGTAAATGTATCTGTTTAACTATCTAGCATAGTTAAACCTAATCAAATGCATAACGTGTGGCTTTCGGCCAACGTACTGAGAGACCTTGTTAACTCTCCAACTTATGTACTGAGAGTTTGTTAGCTCTCCGGGTACTTCGTACCCCTGTGTGTTCCACACCATGTAACCCCGTTACAATACTGTTATATGTAACGTGTTGCACTCGCACCTATGCTTGATCAATATTGATGGAGAGCTTTTAGCTTCAATAGACCCATCCGCATTTTTTTACAAAAGCAGATCATATGGCGAACACCGTGTAGTCGTCGCGATCTTACATTTAAAAGCTCTCCATCAATATTGATCAAGCATAGGTGCGAGTGCAACACGTTACATATAACAGTATTGTGTACACCCCCATGCAACTAATTTGAGCTCTCGATCCCTAGTGTCCATTTAATCGCCCTCAGAAACTCAGCCCATACAAATTTCTAGTCAGCCAAAATGACACATGTTTTCTTTTATATAGTTTTTTGTGTTATGGACACTCGACGAGGTGGCCGTATAATTGTGTCCAGGAGTGTACTACTCGTAGCACTACCAGGAAAATTGGTCAAAATACCATATTATTGAGTAGTCCTGTAAATATCACTGAGCTTGAAAACAAAAATATAATAGCATATTTATTGTCCAACCTCTGGCTATGAGAGGTGTGCGACGAGTCTGCATGAGCAACAGGCGCTCGCTTGCCACGGCTGGAGCAGTGGCGGAGGGGGCGACTACCGGTCGGAAGAAAAGTCTGCTGGTGGATGGCAACAACGCACTCTACCATTTCTACGATCCGCTGTCCAACGTCGAACAGTGCGTTGGCGCTTACGGTCATTTGTTTGCTTAATCCCAGCAGGCTGACGTTATGCGCGTGCGTCTGAAATTGCACAGAAACGGAGTCAAGACTGAAGCAGTGGATGGTCTTCTGCGACTTTTACGACGGATGGACAAGACGCACGAACCCGAACACATTTCCGTAGTGTTCGACTCGAAACAGCGCCCTACCACCAGAAGAGTCATGCAGCCAGTCTACAAAACGGACCGAGCTCCGATGCCACAGTCGCTAGCGCCACAGTTTACATATGCGCAAGAAGTTCTGAGCCGGGCCAATGTGAACTGCATTGAGCGCCCGGGGATGGAGGCCGATGACATCATCGCCTCGTACTCGGTGCAGTACACGGTCGCTGGCTACGACGTGCTGTTAATATCCAACGACAATGACTTCCTGCAGCTCGTCCATGGCGGCGTCAACGTAGAGGCAGAAGCAGAAGCTGCAGACAGTAGTATGTCCGACAGCATCGACTTGCCTCCTGCCGTTGTGGAGATCTACCAACCATCTAAACGCCGATACATCCGCGAGCGAAACGTGCGTGGAAGATTTGGCTTGCACCCCAAGTTACTACCAGACTTTCACGCGCTGTGCGGTCATCACTGGAAAAGGCTCCCCAGAGTGGACAGCTTGACCGACGAGTTGGCAGTTCAGTTGCTCACTCAGTATGGCGGTCTTTATCCTTTGTTACGCCAACTGGACACACTCGTTGACCCCGTCTTGTGCAAGACGTTGAAGCAGTGCATCACTTCTGTCGAATCCTCCTACCGTATTGTTAAGCTTGTCGACACAGTCGAGTTGCCTGTAGCCATCGAGGATCTCCGTCGGCCCCAGCTGAATTAGAATTGCCACTGGACCAAGTGTAACAGCAGTCACTTATCGAAAGGCATAAGGTGTAAAAGCAATTTTAGAGCTTGGTTGGCCTATTCATGCATCAACTTTCATATCCGCTGCCCCGTCATCCTCGTGATCCTTGGCAACTACTCCTCGCCATTCCTCCTTGGTCGCGCTAACTTGTCCGAGTGCAGACGCACTTACCATCTTCATCTCGGTGTCTTCGCCTCCATCGTCATCACTGTCCGAGTCGCTGCTCCCCTGGAGGCCAGCACGAGTCTCTTTGATTTTCATCTTGATTAGGTCGAGACGCTCCTTTGCGCGGCGGTTAGAGAACCACGTCTTGATCTGCTGCTTCGTCACTCCAAGTACATTCCCACCATTGTACTCGTCTGTGTGGTCATCTTGGTTCAGCACCTTTAGCAATTCCTCCAGTCGAGCCATTGTCGGTCGCGGATTCTTTTCGTACTCTTCGATTATTGTTGCGAGCTGCTTCACATTGAAGATCCGCCCTCCATGCGCATTTCCGGCATAATCTTCGTCGCTTATAATAACTGTTTCGGTCGACTTTCCCTGGGCGCTAGGAGTATCCCTTCTCGGACGTTTAGCGTTACTTTTGTCGTCACTCACAGGTGCTTTACGCTTCGCACCAGAGCTGCCAGACGCATTGGCCAACGTCTTTGACTTCGGCTTCGTTCGGGACTTGGATCCCTTTTCCGATTTGGTATCGTTGTCCGACTCTGTGTCACTGGAACAAGACGAGCTCGAGGCCGCGTCATCAATGTGCAGATCCGCACCACTCAAGGCCTGAGGGGGCTGGTTTGCCGACCGCCGCTTGTAGAACCAGCAACGAATCTGCTTGTAATCGATAGATCTCTGCGCCGCATCACTCGACGGATCCGAAGACGCAATTGTATTCAACCGAGCCGCGATTTTGTCAAGCTTCTTCTTGCTCGGTGTATCTTCTTTGTGGAAATACTTCTCGAGCTTTACTAGCTGAGCCAGCGAGAACTTTACACGCGGTCGTCTGGACTCCGGCGAAGGTGTCGGTCCTGAACTTGGCGACGATCCGGGAGTTCCTGGCAACGATTCAGTGTCTACACTTAGTAAAAGTGACCGTGGTTTTTCCTTCCGCTTCTTATTGGTACTGGTCTCCACTGCCATCGCAGCCACCACGCTCGGTGCATCACCGTTTTCCACAATCCATTGAAACTCTTCATGCAACTTCTTTGTCTGCCGCACAAGCTCTTTGTTGTCTTTGTGAGCAATCAGAACCAATTCCAACTGCCGCTGCATATCCGACTCAATTAGTACGGCGTGTGGAATGGTAAGAGATAGCAGCAGCTCGATGATATCCGTAAGTTCCTCAGCAGATGCGTCTTCCTCTAATAGCTTCAGCAGCTTCATCTTAATGTGTGACATTTCTTCTTTCCCCAGCGGTTTGGACGCTCCAGTACGAGCATTCTTGTAAGGAACATGCAACCTCTCTCGTGCACGTTCGATCGCAGTCAAACGTAGCGCTTTGGTCTCCTCTTCGCTCTTGCCGGCCTCACGAGCATCCTTAATTGCCTTCCTCACGGAAGCAACATGATCGATTCGAATACGTTTCTTCTGAACACTCGAGCCCCCAGGAGTAGACGGTCTATCAGCTCCATCTTTGCTGGAGCCCATCAATGCTCCAGGCGGACTTAATCTAGGAGCTCTTCCATGTGTGGGTTGATCAGCCGTATTAGCAATCAAGGCCATATCTGCTTCATCAACGACATGCCCAGACCCCTGTCCATTCTCACGCATCCGTGACACTCGAGCCTCAAGCACTTCTTTGGCTTCGTCGATGTAAGCAGCCTTCATCTTTTTGACACTGTCCGCATCCATGTCAGTCGTAGAAATGTCCTTCATCTTAAGGCGCATGTAGTCCAGACGTTCCTTCGCACGCCTATTGTCAAACCAGATGCGAATCTGCTTCACTGAGATGCCTTCTGGTTGTAGCTCTGGGTCCGCATAGTCTGGACAGTTGATGATGCGGTACATCGAGTGAATCTCACTAGACTCTGGTCGAGAGGATCGCTGGTACCATTCCTCCAGCTTCTGAATCTGCTTCGATGAGTACAAGCGACTGGCACCACTCTTTCCCTTCGACCCCGATGCAGATCGACCAGCCGTTCCTGTCGCCTGCTTCCTAGCTCCACTGTTGCTTGCAGACTTACGGTCTTGGTTGGGAGTTGCTTTAATCTCCTTTATAAAATCAACCTCGAACTGGATACCTGCAACTTGCAGCTGCTCCATTATCTGCTTCAGAGAGTCCAAGCCATTATGCACTCGACGCAGCAGAGCATCTTTGTCTGATACATCTGCATTGTCCCCCTTACTGGCACTTGCATCGTTTGTTGCAGCAAAATGAGAAGAAGTGGCAGAAGCCGCGTGCGCTGATGATGCAGGAACCAACAGGAACGGAGGCGGTGGCGGAGAGTTCACCAGCACTTGTTGCTGCTGTCGTTGTTCATGTTTAACGTCATTGCTGTAGTTGACAGTACTAGCACCGTAGAAGTTGCCATTTCGTGCGCCACTATGGTTCTCGAGCCGATGCAGATCCATGACGCTGTTGATATCCTTTGTTAGAGTCTGCGTAATGTGCAGCATCTCCCCTGTCTGCTCCAGTATCTTCGAGTTGATGTTCTTACCGCCGCGCAACGCTAGATCCGTCAAGCGCTGTATCTCCGTCTCTACAGCAGCAGCAGTTACATCTCCTGCAACCCCGATCTTGTCGTCAATCTCACCCTTGCCTCGGCCCGTGGAGGAAGATTTCGACCCACGACTACCACGACCTTTCGCAGCAGAACCGCTACGCTGCTGCTTCCGGGGAGTACTAGCTGGGGGTTTATCAGTCGATGCAGCCTTGGCGACTGGCTCGCAATCGGGACAAAACCACTGGCGATTAGTGACTGGTACTAGCTGAGGGAACTGCTGACGGAAGCAGCTCGTGTGGTACATGCATTTGCACTGTAGACACAGCAGTGCCCGTCGTCCATTGCGGGGCTCATGGCACGCCTCGCACTCTTTGCGAGCCACAGTGCAGCGGCGTGCTGCAATGATCGCACCCACCATGGAGGTACCTGATTTGAGCGCCAGAGTCGTCGAGTCGTCAACATGCTGTACACTGGCATTACTGGGACTGGGCGATGGCGCGAGATTTACAGCAGCTTCCGACGCTAAGTCCGTCTCGCTGTGGGCCGGCATCTTCTTCGTATTTTCCCGTTTCTCTAGAGCTTGAGGTGGTGCGTTGGAGAATCCCGCTCTTTCAGGCGACTCGTCATCGTCTTCGTCGGTCTCAGAGCGTCTTGGTGTGGCTGTGCTGTCCAAATCGTCGTCCGATGGTGCGTTGAGGGACTCGTCATCGTCCTTCTCTACCTGTACGCCACCTTCCTCTTCATCATACACATGTGCCTCATCACCCTCGTCGCCCACGGCTGTATCCTGCTTCGATGGACCTCGGGATGCGTCCATGTCGTAGTCCTCGCCCCAAGCTGGCGGTCGGGGAGCCCTCACATCGCTATTGGCATGCGCCACGACCTCCTCCTCGTCAGAGGCGTCACCATCATCGTCGGAGGCTGACTGGAGGTTGCTCTTGTACACCAGGAGCGCCTTCTTGCGCTCCGTGGCGTCGTCCAGAACCGTCGTACCCTCCATCCGCTCGCTTGTTTGTAGGGGGGCGGAATGCAGTAAGTACGATCACTTATTTTCTCCGGTCCGGAAAATTAACAGTTAGGTTTTCTTTAAAAAACCTCGCATGTGTGATCAGTCAATGAGGATTAGTTAAAATGAGTTCATATGAGGATTTGTATGCACTCGGATTGAGAGTAATTGACACGAAATTGGGTTCAATTGCTTTTAGTGATATACCACTAGATCAAGCTCCGTTTGCGCTTTTTCTAGTACATTTTAAAATTAAGTTCTGATTATTTTTGACGTCAAAGCAAAAAAAAACTCCACCCCTCCATAAACGGATAGTTCAAATTGTCAGGTTTGGCAAAATCGGCTGGAACTTTGTTCATTTAAAAACTCGTGCTGACGCTACGTAAGTATAGCTTTCAAACTAGCCCAACCACGCTTCCGTTGGAGCTATACGACTGAAGTTATTGCCGATTTAAAGAACTGTTATTAATAATTCTTTTTCGGACCAGACAAGAAGGCCCTTGTTAAACAATCCAACTTGACAATTAAAAGTATTGCATTTGTTGTATTATTGTGAATTCCGACAAAATTTGACATTTTGGTTCTATTCAGTACAGTAAGTCACTCGATACAACTTTCCTGTTATTTCGAAACTGATCTCATTTCGTACCTAAGTGGATTCTTTATCAATACAGATTTGCGCTATAATAAAGAGTCTGTATTACAGACTCCGCCTAAAGGGTGGACCTTCTAAGTTCCCAAAGGATATCAAATAAGCATAGGCTATGGATTCTTGCAAAAAAATACTACCACGTATGTTCTGTCAGAAAAAGCTGAAGGTAGTATGACCGCGTTTGCAAGGGTATAATCTGAATGTGCATTTCAGTTTCTGAGTGGAGTCTGTATTGCGCTCAAAGAACCGCGCACGGAAATTTTGACTAGAGCGCACAATAATACTACGTAGTACTGGACGGTTCCTAAAACTCGAATCCCATTTTGCGTGTACTAAACCGACCATAAAAAACATATGCATCTGCATTCTGGTATCAAATTGCTCCAAAGAGGGAATTCTGTAAGGGGTGGAACCACCCCTTACAGATTGGTACTGCGTACTATTTGCCATAGAAAGACATTTTCAACACCGCGCAGAAGCCTCAAAAGAGATGACGGAGCACCGCAACACAGCACACGACCTGCCAGAGCAGCACCTACCGACAACAAGTGTGGTGTAGTAATTTCTCCGTGGTTGCGGATTATCACCCGTCGACAAAGACGTGACACCGCCCAAGTGTTCAAGCGACGAACCCTCGGTCGGGTGATGTACGGAGACGCCAAGGTGCAAGGGACTCGACGGCGTCACCTCCGAGTTTTCAACAAGTATCGGATACGGCCCTATGTCACTGAATCCAGGCTGTCCTTATTATTAATAATGGACTGGCCGGATTCGCATTCAGCGGACCATCTACGGTACGAACCCTCAGTGGCGGTTGGGATGAGTTCGCGGAATACTCAGCGACCTTTGGAAGACACGTTCACCGTCTGGGACAGGGCGCGGACCGTTAAAGATGCTCATGCGACAGTGCAGACGACGCTTGGCATGCAAGAAGATCCATAACGGATCATTGTTCACTTGATATTTGTATACTTGATTAGGACTTCTTATTAGGAATAGACCCGAAAGGGTAAGCTTAAATACAGAACAGAATTTCCACTCAAGCACACAGAGCGACGTCCGGCTTCAAGGTAAGAGTCAGGTCAAGCTTGTTTGAGTGTGTTATGCCTGTCGGTGAACTCGAAGCTCTGTAGCGAGGGTTCATCCGGCAAGGCCAAGAGACTTTGTGTATTGGCCGATTATTATCGGGAGGTTTTACGTGACGGCTTATTGTTGCCTATTTGCACGACTGGGAGTGCTTGAATTGCCTCCCTTTTATTTCTTCCAGCCGAGTGTTGAACACTCGGTGATCCCGTAAAAGGCTTACCCGTGCCTGGTACCCTTCCGCTGTTGGGACCACGAGGATTCAAAACACCTGCTAGCTTTGCTCGTGCTAGTAGCGTGTTCTTATTTTACTGGTTGGCCTATATAAGTAGTTTACAAGGTCCAGTTTGTCCCGGTGCAAGGGCAGAACTGGGGTCTTCAGGTCCGCCCGAACGATCGTTTACTATCCTAGTAGACGTATTGTTGTGGGAACATCCTAACTACATCTGTAGCTAGAGTTCACGTGGGATTTCCAACACCACAACTGGTGCCGCGACCCGGGAACAGATTGTGACCATTGTGAACTGTTTGTATGGCCTTCCAGTTTACGAGCTACCAAGAGAAGAAGAACAAGAAAAAGACAAGAAACATGGCGAAAGGACAACCGACGGTACCAGTTACGCCTGCCAAGTCTGGCGGAGCTCGCAACGAGAGTTCAAGCCCGGCTGCGCGCTTTGCAGCCGCCACCGAGCTTTCAGTGAGCTTCGACGACGAAGCGGACATCGGTCCTGACGCCCACGATTATGAAGATTACGAAGATAAGACGCCGGCTCCAGAGCCAGGCGCAGCGACGCCGGAGACGGCCACGCTATCATCGGGGCTGAGCGGGGCGACCAAGTCCCTTTCGAGGAACCTCGCCGACGAGCTCGATGATGTTGCGGGACCGGAACCAGCCTATGATGATTATGACGATGGGACCGAGGGTTTTAAACCTTCGGTGGCGAGTGCAAAGCATTCAGCACTGCTGAAGGCACCTCGCCCACCTATCAACGGTGATACACCAGCCGCCAAGCGCGTTTTCGACCGCGTACAAGCGCTGATGCAGAATGATGAGTGGATGCAGCTGTTCAAGCCCATCCCCAAGAAAAAGGCCGACTGGCCTGCGCTTGCGCAGGAACTTCAATACCCAGTCAACTCGGTTTCGACTAGTCAAGTTGCCGAGGATTCAGTTTCGCTACTGTTGTCGCTGGGGTTCGAGAACGAGACGTACCCATCGACGATGTCGCTCCAGGATTGGAGTCCACATGAAGCCGGAGCTGCTCTCCAGAAATGGAAGAAGAAGCTTCGGAAGGCGTTTGGCGCCGTTGGCATCAATGCCGGAAAGCAGCCTGTGAGTCGACCGATGATTCAAGATGAAGATCCGTCTAAGATTCCACTGCCGCCGACGCCCCAACGACTCGTTCGTACTTCTCCGACCAAGCGTGGAGCTGAGCGTGGTGCCTTTGGCACTACCGAAGCTTCACCGTACTTTCAAGACTCACACATGGTTACGCCACGTTCGGAGAGCCGTATGCAACGTATTTACGCAAGTAACGAGGATTCGTTCGGTCACCGAGGCGGTGCGCGAGCTCCAAAAGGTGGTGCCGGACGTCGTCAAGTCGACAGCGATGGTTCGTCCAGTGACGATGACATTTTGGTGCGTACATTCGACGAGGAAGATCCTCAACTCGAGTTGATGCGTCAGATAAATGAGCTAGCGACGCTGAACGACGTGGACCCAACACCGAGGATTGAAATGGCTTCGCACCGACCGCTGGATCGCATCACGCCGTTCTCAGGCTCTCGCAACAAGAGCGAGAACTGTATGCAGTGGCTCCGTGGGTTCGTCTATGAAATGACTGGAACCCACACAGATGCCGATAAATGGTGCATTCCATTTGAGCTAAGTCTCCGGGACGGAGCCATTCATTGGTTCCGTCAACTTCCGAAGAAGACGAAGCGCAAGTGGAAGCTGTTGAGCGATGCGTTCATCCGCTACTACTGCTCGCAGTTCACGCAGACGGCACTGTCGCGTTACTACTCCGCCAAGCGGGAACGAAATGAACATCTGTGCGACTACATAAACAGGCTGAACGGCTACGCTCGGACCGCCCGTCTACACTTTGAGAAGAGTGGTCGCGACGCGAAAGAACACGTACAGCAGTTCCTGGCAACATGCGACGATGACAAACTAGCGGAGAGTCTCTACCACGCTCGAGTCGCCGACATTCACGAGCTCGAAGAGATCGTCGAAGATGTTCTCAAGGGCAAGGAGAGAATGGCCAAGCGTGACAGTGAGTACCGATACTCTAAGAGTCGTGATACGCGACGCGACGATGGGTACGCCCGCAACAACCGGCGTGATGACCGTCGCCGCGATGACAACCGCAACAAACCAAGAGTGACACTCATTGAAGCTACGGTGGACGACCTACTAGCTGAATTAGAAGGTCGTGAAGCTGCTCAAGGAGGCAACGAGTATTCAAACGAAGATCCGAACGCTTACGACAATGTCCAAGATGAGTACAACGACTTTCAGCCCGATAATACGGATGGCGATTTCTCATTGGATGAAAACGACCGATACCTCGCTGCTGCAAACGAAAACGAGCGCCGTGCAGCTGCTGAAGGCACCTACGCACGTTCGGACAACCGCCAACCGCGTGGAAACACGCCTGATCGCGAGAATGGCTTCAATCAAGATCGCCGAAGTAGTGACCGTGGGTTCAATCAGGACCAGCGCGGTCGACGTGACTTCAACCGCGACAACCGACGCCCACAGTACGGACCATGCGCGGTGTGCGGTGGCATGAGTCACTCCGCCCACTACTGTAACAAGCGATGCAAGTTCTGCAAGCAGCTCCACGATGCTGGACAATGCGAACTTTTCCGCAACTTCCAAGACCTTGCCAAATTCGTGCGCACTAAAGGCACGAAGGAGGAACTCCCGCCAGAGCTCAAGGCCGTCGTTCAAGAACGTCATTTAAACTAGGCAGCCCGCCAACTACAACTGGGTTGGTCCCTATCGGGCTGCCACAGTTAACCGAGCCTTCAATGGAAGCAGAGTGTATCTTTGCTTTCATGGGGCAGAGTGAATGGCCTGATAATTACGTAACAAGTGTGAACGCGACGGAAAATGAAAAGGAGAGGAGTAGAATCCTCGGTGGAGGTGTTGGAGAGAGAGTGGAGTGTGCTGATGCTGATGAGGGCACCAGCGAGGGTTCGCTCGGCTTGTTTTCGAGTGCAGCGCGAGACGTGCCCAAGGGTCACTCCAAGATGA